TCAAGGTTGTCGACTTTATCCTCTAGCGATTTAATGTACTCTAAACTGTTCTTCCTTTCAAGCTCAAAGCGAGCCAATTTTTCCACCATTTCATCGTATCGGTGCCCCATGAATTCGACGGCAGCCTGCAGTTCGACATTTTGTGCTTTGATATGCTCCATATTTGTTTGCAGTTTGCAAAATTTTTCATTCTGTTCCTGTCTCAAAGTTGCAAATGAAGATAGCAGATCATCGCGGAGTAAGTTCAAATCGACCGTTTGTTCCAAGTCATGTTTGCGTTTTTGTCGGAGAGTGATACGGTCCATAGCTAGTTCAGAATTCGGTGTCGACAAGTCAGGCTCGGAGCTGTGATGAGGCATAGTAAAAGAAGAATTTATTCCCTTATTGGGTGGTGTACGCTCTGTCATTTTTATTTATAAGCTTATAATGTGGCGCTTATTACGTTTTAACAATCACTCTTGCAAAAGTATGCTGAGTAATGCCGCAATTAGCTATCGCCAGACACTGCCCACAAAAGCCTATGCAGTACACAAAACAATGAAGCGCAGCGTCCGAACAACAACACGACGACACCAACTCAAAACAGTCACAAACAAGCTACAAAAGTGCACACTAAGAAAGACTCACGTCCAAGATAGTCACTAGCATAACTTAAATTATTGTAGTGGCACACCAATAAAGGCCCACGGGTCGCAGCGCAGCAACGCAACGTCGCGACCGAAAGGTCGTAAGAGCGCTGTATACGGCGTCGCTTACGCGTTCACACTTGATGCCCTATTATAATGTTAAGTGCGGGTAAAGCTACTATAAGTTTTGCGTTAATCAGTTCGGTAAGCTTATTTTACTTAAAATCACAATACACTCACCATGTTCTAACCAGTAAAAGATAGTTACTCAGATTAATTAAAGTTCGCACTATAACACTGCACTGTAGATCAACATTTACCACAGTTAAGTAATATACTCTAGTGGAGCTTTTAGATAACAACCAACCCGTAGTGACAGTTCGTGACGGATTAGATCAGAGATATTGAAAGTGGGATTTCAAGTAGGTAGGTGAGTTAGATGAGTGGAGAAGAGAGTGTAACACAGTCAGAGCTCTAGAACTGCGGCGCTGTCTTATAGGTAACCATGACAGTTGCGTACGGCAAGCGGATATGTGATCGTAATTTCGCAGGTTGAAAATGAATCGAATGCAATTGTTGAGAAGTCGGTCTAATTTATTGAGCAGATCTGCATTCAAGTCGAAATAACACACATCGCCATAGTCGATAAGTGGAAAAATTAAACTCTGCACAAGCATCGTCTTTGTTTTTATTGGGAGGAAAATTTTAAGGCGATAGAATCCTCGTAAAATATTCGTAACCCTCTGACTGACACTAGTTACCTGAGTTTGCCAGTTCAGAGTCGCAACGATGTGCAGACCGAGATCCTTGACCGATGTACTAACAGGCTAAACGGTGTCATTAAAGATGATGCCAGTAATATTATCAAGATCAATGCTGCTTGTCATTCTCGGACTTCCTATGATGATCGCTTGGCATTTTGATGGGTTCACCGTTAAACCGAACCTGCAGGACTAGTTTTTTATGGTCTCTAAGTCTTGATTAATACTATTTACAGCTTCGTCCAAATTTTCTACTCTTGCATGTGAATAGATCTGCAGGTCGTCTGCATACAAGTGATACGAACACCGAAGTTCATGGGTTATGAGATCGATAAATAAAGAAATTAGGAATTACTTTTGGAAAAGACAAAGCAAGAAGATAAATTAGATAGACCCTTTCTCATTCTGTATGTTTGGAATAGGAAATGAGTCTTAGTTCCGCAGTAGGTCGAAGGGGCTGAAGTCGCCTGAAGTGGTGGATAACTAGATATCAACTGAAATTTTCACTTTATCATATTACAATAAAAAAATAGAAGGTACGACTAAATACATACCCAGAATGCTTGTCACCATGGTACTCCACGTGTCTGACAGAGCCGTCGGGCTAATGCAGTGCGTAGTATCCCTTGACGTAGTCATCGTCGCGGTGCTCGTGTTGAGATTTGATGTCACCGGTGTGAGGGTCCTCTACTTTGTAACCGAGTTTGTAGACAGATTTATATAAATACAGTTAGTTATAATTTCTATTTGACAGGGCTGTAGGTCTAGTGGATAGAAACTCTGAAAAAAAGCTAAGATAATTAAAAAAAAAAATTTATATAATTTAATGTATGCAATAATGTAATTTTTTGAGTTTGGAACCGAGATCTTAGGATCCAATCACATGTTTCTCACATTCATGATACTTACATAGTAGTCAACAGGATGGATGAATTGTGAGCAAAATCCGTGCCCGTGGCCAAACACAGTTTTCAGAGAAGCAACTACTGCGTAAGGACGAGAACCTAACAGAAGAAATATTTTTGTTGTTCAATCTTAATAACTGATCGTTTGGTTAAGTTGTACACTTCCATATTCCGAAGTAATTCAAAGACAACAACAGATAATTAAAACATAGGTATGAAACCATTTTGTTACGGAAGAGCCATACCTCTTCACATGGGCTGCCTTGATCGGGGTTATACCAAGCTCTCACAGAAAACCTAAGACGACACAAAACCGAAAAAAGCAGACTTCCAATAAATTCTATTTTGAACCCAGAAATAACAATTTGTCAGGAAAGGCGTCAGTTTAATTTATGAAGTTTAACTTTACTGACAACAAACTGTTTAACTTTAAAAATAACGTGGCGTATGTGACCTCAACCTCTTTAAGAAACTGTGTAATGTCAGTAACACCTAGTGAGTCTTCTTTACCAGTGTGATGTCAGCTAAAACCCGATAGAGTCTGGCTTCCGTTTTGGTGCACTCCTTCAAAATCTAAACCTAATTTTTTAAGAGCCTTTTGTGTTTTCGTCAATGTTATAATGAAAGCTGTTTATTATATTCGTAGTTTTATTTGGCATTCTCCACCGCTGCCGAATATATCCTTATAATTAATTGATTCTTATTACTCCTAGAATACTACCACTAGATGCTGAATCATTTGATAGACGTCAAAACACAATTTAATACTTTTAAATGTCACATTTTACCTTTCATATCATATTGAAGTTTAATGTTTGAATTGTTTGTACTAATGATTCTAACACCAATAGTGAACTGAACCTTTGTGATAAAATTCAATGTCTTTTATATCACCAACATATTAATCAAGGCAAAACTGATTTCACATTGTGTAGGCACTGTACGGGAGTTCTAATAAAAATATACATAGTAATTACAGATACTTAGTAATTATAGATAGTATAATAAAAATTGCAATGAAATATTACTAACGTTACTTAAACACTGTATACCAGTATAAACATATTATTGCAATAGAAAATACAATCACGGCAACAACAACAAATCATTAATTTGAAATAAGAATAGAAGTTGTATTGCATCGATGAAAAGAGAATTTATTCAAATATAATTAACACGTAATTAATTAATTCGCCGAGAATAAAGTTGCTTTCAATCATTTGTTGTAACAATAATACTTACTTACTATCATTTATATGTCATGATTGACTAGAAACTGATATCAAATCTTTATTGATAATTTTAAATTTCGACACTTTTTCGTAAGTATACCTAGAAAGAGAGAGAAAGCCACTTTAGAATACGCTTTTAAATAAAGTTTTCATTAACATTTTATATGTCTATCAGTGATTAGTTAAGTATAAACCAAGTTATATTAGATTATGTACGAATATAAGCGTTAATTAGAAGTTGCCAAAACGTGGCTGGCCACCATTGATTATATTGATTAATAATGTGATATCCGATTTTTACACAACTAAAATTTTAAAATAGTTAACAGAAATAGTTTAATTTGGTGTTATAAATGGTCTCATGAAAGATTGTCAATAAATTAAAAATATGAAATATACGAGTATCTCCGTAAGAAATTACATCTCTTTAGAAAACTATGAGATAAGAATTAGACATAATAGTATATTTAAAAATAAGTTGGTTTAACTGAGACATAAATTTACAGAAAAATGTTCAAACATCTTCTACAGGGTATTGTATTGATTTTTACAATAAAATACATATTCTTAATTAAATGAGGAGAAATTTTAAAGCTGATATGAAAGGTTGAGAAAATATTGGTCCAGCTCATTAGCCAAACTGTCTTTAAATTCCACTTGATTTAGAAAAAAAATGAATAAAGCAAGACCCCATTTAAAAAATATTTAATTTTCTGCTACATACAATTTCAATAAGTTATTTAAAAATATGTTAACAAAATAGTGTTCAAACATAATAAACAAGAAATAACGAGGCAATTTTGGCAGTTTAAGTTCAGTGATGAGGTTGATGTTCAGGAGCAACATGTTTAGCATGACCCTCGTACTTCACATCTGCGTGGAACCTGTTAACAAAAAACAATCAGTTAATCAAATAAATTACAGACATATATAAGTCACTAGCTGACCCGCGTTACTTCGTCTGAGTCTCCCAAAAAGAATACACACGTTTTTGCAACATGTTTGATGGAAACTTAGTTCCTATAGGTCTAGGAGCTCTAGCGCATGATCTATAGACTATAGCTTTCCTTAATAAACGGGCTATCGAACAGTAAAAGAGTAGCGCTTCAATCAAACAAACAAACTCTTCGGATTCTTAAATGAGTGTAGATTACAATTCATAATAGTATATTTACTCACCCGCTCTTTTTGTCGGCATAATACTTCACAATCCTGACGGAGCCATCGGGCTGGTCCAGGCCGTATTCTCCCTTCACGACGTCACCATCGCGGTGCTCGTGCTGGTACTTGTGGTCGTGAGTGTGGGGGTCCTTTACTTCGTAGGCGAACTCGTATTTAGGGTGGGCCTATATATCATATTGGTTTAATAAGTATATACATTTATATCAAATATAAATGATCTTAATGATATCATACATACGTAGTATTCGACGTGTTTAGTGACGTGTCCGTCATGGTGCTGCTTAAGGTTTTGTGATGAGTAGGCGTGTCCGTGGTGTTCATTGTCATGGTGCTCATGATGACCATGGCTTTCCACATGGTGTGTCTCGTGGTGTCCATGGTTATGTTCCTCGTGGTGGCCTTGGTGATGATCGAGGTGATATTCCTGATGGGGAGCGGGAGTATGCTTGTCTTCGTGGGTTTGATGAAGTACGATGCTCTGAGACGAGTAAGCGTGACCGTGATCTTGGCCGTGGTGGTGATTTTGAGCAGCGACGGCTACAACCGCAACAGCGGCGATGAGTAAAATCTAAAGAAATAACATTAAATTAGTGACCATTGTTATTATTAAAATAACGTTTTTCTAAGTAGCACGTATTTCGTTTATATTTTTATATACAGTAAGTACCTTTGTAAACATTATATTTTTTTGATGCCAATGAAGTTGAATGTTTACTGATGTTTGTAATAAAGAAACGGCAGTTTATATACTGAAATCCAATAACTCGTTTCAAGAAAACGATAAAACCACACCAACATTCATATAATCAAGTACAAGTGCTGGCATTGCGCTTGTTCTGATTAAAACTGGTGCTGTCCTAAAATACGACAATGATTTAATATTACTTGTAGATGTTAACTTAAAGGCATCTGATGAACTAATAAACGAGTACTCGTTAGAAACATTTGTAGAGGCCTTTTCTTTTTTTTGAAGCACCTTGATTGAAAAATTTGTACAATAGTTTAGTCACATCATCATGTCAACAGTCTGTAATAGTCCACTGCTGGAAATATGCCTCTTCTTAGAAAGGACATTTATATTACTAAAAACCCAACGAGTAACGCTCTTTCTACTTGAATCCCCTGCTTTAATCGCCCAGGGAATTGTACAACACCCACTTTTCCACTTCTGTCCCCCAGGGGATTACACAACACCCAACATTCCACTAGGATCCCCTTTTTTTCTGTGCGGAAAGCCCATCGGATATCACCTACCGGTGTACCAGATGTACCTTAGGAAAGAAATCCCTGGTACCCCGGGCCATCTACGTCTTGCAGAACCCCAGAACCCCCTCGTGTGTGGGAACCACGGTATTCCCATTCTACCGCTCCAGAGTGCACAGGTAAACGGAAATATCATAGTCGGTCATTATCTTATCATAGAAATGTTTAAATAAATTAAACTATATTTGTTGTTTAAACAACCTTTTGTTTTTGGTTAATAAGGAGTGTAAGAGCAAGTTTATATTTTAATAGCACTGAAAACCTAGCAGCTTTCGTGGTTTATTTGCTACCATTTATTGAAGAGTTCCGTTGTCTGTCATGAAATTATGAAATTTAAATGGGACCATTTCGGAATAAAAATCTGTCGAACAAAAAAAAAAAGTATTTTGAAAATCCGTCAATATGTGACGGAATTATTTTACATACATAAAAAAAATTCAACATTCGTATTGATAACCTCCTCCTTTTGTAGTCGGTTAAAAAAACAAACTAAAGTGCTACGGTATAAGGGGAAACATTTTAAATCTTCTGAATTCTTACTTTTCAAACAGTATAATGTATTTTATCCAGCTAATAAATATGAACTATGATAATATAGCAGTAAAGGAATTATTTAACTCGATTTTTTTTGGTTTGATCATAGATAAAAAAATAATTGGAAAGAACATATTAGTACATTTGTGATACATTTAGTAGATTTATATTTATTATTAGTATTTGTAGAGAACCAACCCATTGAACTGTTTAGGATTTAAAAAAAAACTCATTTGTAATTAAATCGTACACATATATTAAAACAGACATAACATTAGATCACATAAGGTTCAACAGGCAATATAACATTTTAACAGGTCAGTAGTGGTGATTGTTGTGTTGGGGTACAATGTGGTGGGTGCCGTGCTTTACGTCAGCGTGGAAACTAAAATAATAAACAGAATTTAGTTTATTTTCCATAAATCAATTTTGTTATTTACACTTAGAATTTATTAACACCAATATTTTAAGCTATTGACTGGCCGTCTTTGCTATATCATAATATCCTTTCTAAACGAATTTCTCAGTAATGTCATGTTATGTTACCCAGCTAATATCAAGGAATTTTTATGGTTTTTAAGACTATGTATTCTAAAGTGTGGGTATCATATCCAGTATGAAATATTAGAAAAAATTGTTTTTCACCTCATCACGATGAAGATTTTGATTTTTATTATAACCGCTGTACATGAAATACAGCGTTAGAATGTGAGATTCTAATTGACGACCTCTGCAGCGTAGCAGTAGTGCATTTAATTGTCATTTCCAATATTGCGGGATCTAGTCTCATGCAATATCTGCATATAAATTATATGTATCACTAGCTGAGACCCGCGGTGTTACCCGCGTTTGTTGTTATAACCCCGGGCAACGCCGCGCGGCGAAGTTAGTCTAAAAAAAGTAGCCTAAGTTACTCCTTATGTCATCAGCTATCTGCCAGTGAAAGTCCCGTCGAAATCGGTCCAGCCGTTACTTGAGGTCGGTGCAACGCGAAACATTGCATTTTTTTTAATTTCTTTTATGGGCGACCGCTTTACTACCTTAAAGAGGTAATTTCTTTTGCAAAATACAAAGCGAGAAGATAAATTAGATTAAAGAACACAGATAATTCAATGCAAGGCTACTAGAGCCCTTTTCTCAAACTGTAAATTAGGGATAGGAACTGAGTCTTAGTTCCGTAGCAGTTTGAAGAGGCCGAAGTCGCCTAGCAACCCCTAGGGCATAGATATCAACTCTGAAAATATCACTTTATCATATTAAAATATATAAATAGAAGGCACGACTAAATACATACCCAGAATGCTTGTCACCATGGTATTCCACGTGTCTGACAGAGCCGTCGGGCTGATGCAGTGCGTAGTATCCCTTGACGTAGTCACCGTCGCGGTGCTCGTGTTGAGATTTAATGTCACCGGTGTGAGGGTCCTCTACTTTGTAACCGAATTCGTATTTAGGGTGTGCCTGTAGACAGATTTATATAAATGCAGCTTGTTATAATTCTAAACTAAACAAAAAATTCTAAGCTAAACAGCTATTTGACAGGGCTGTAGGTCTAGTGGATAGAAACTCAGAAGATAAGCTAAGATAATTTAAAAAAGTATTTATATAATTTAATGGCTTCAATAATATAGGTAAATAAGTACCTACTAATCATTAACCTTTTGAGTTTAGAACCGAGATCCTACGATCAAATCACATATTTCTCACATGCATGATACTTACATAGTAGTCAACAGCATGCCCATGCCCTTGACCGTGATCGTGTCCAGCCACATGGACTGGATGGGCGGGACCATCATGGCGATGGATGAATTGTGAGGAAAATCCGTGCCCGTGGCCAAACACAGTTTCCAGAGAAACAACCACTGCTACAAGGACGAGAACCTAACAGAAGAAATAATTTTGTTTGTTACATCTTAATAACTGATCGTTTGGTTAAGTTGTACACTTCCACTTTCCGAAGTAATTCAAAGACAACAACAGATGATTAAGACATAGGTATGATACCATTTTGTCACGGAAGAGCCATACCTCTGCACATGGGCTGCCTCGATCGGGGTTATACCATGCCTTCACAGATAACCTATGACGACACAAAACCGAAAAAAGCAGACTACCAAGAAAAACCTACATATGTTGAGCCCAGAAATATCAATTTGTCAATAAAGGCGTCAGTTTAATTTATGAAGTTTAACTATACTGCTTCAAACAATGAAGCGTGTAATGTCAGTGGCACCTAGTGAGTCTTCTTACCGAAAACCCGATAGAGTTTGGCTTCTGTTTCCGTGCACCCCTTCACAATCTAAACTTTTTTTTTCAAGAGGCTTTCGCGTTTCCTTTAACCTTATAATTATAGCTGTTGATTATATTCGTAGTTTGGTTATTTGGAATTGATCACTGCTGTCTAATATATCCTTATAGTTGATCAGAATAAGTTTTTTCTTTTCACAGGAAATTAATTGATTCTTATTACTACTAAAGTTTAACATGCTAAATCACTTGATAGACGTCAAAACACACTCCAGTATTTTAAATGTCACATTTTACCTTTGAGAACATATTGAAGTTTATGTTTGAATTGTTTGTACTAATGATTCTAACACCAATAGTGAACTGACACATTGTGATAAAATTCAATGTCTTTTATATCAATAATAAACTAGTCAAGGTAAAACTGATTTCACTCTAAGTAGGCACTGTACGGGAGTTCAAATAGAGCCATAATTAGTATGCTGTTTCTGCGACATACTAAGTAGTAATAGATAATATAATGAAAGTTGTAATGAAATATTACTAACGTTACTTAAACACTGTATGACAGTATACTCGTATAAACATTTCCTTGCAATAGAAAAGATAATCACGACAACACCAACAAATCATTAATTTAAATTAACAATAGAAGTTGTATTGCATCGATTGAAAAGAGAATTTATTCAAATATAATTAACACGGATTCGAGAGTAAATTTCAAAATATTAGGTCTTTACCTATGAAATTGCCGTTTTGTATGCAATAAGTGAAAGTACTTTTTTTTTCAAACTTTTTTATTTCTGTTATTCAAAGTAATCACCCATGCAATCGACGCATCTTTGCCAACACTTTGGCAGTTTATTGATTCTTGTAAAGATCAGCTGGACGGGAGGCAACAAACTCTTCAAAGGTATTTTGTACTGCCTCTCGGGAATTGAATTTTTTACCCACTAAAAGTTGTCTAAATTTTGGAAAAAGTAATAGTCGGTAGGTGAAAGGTACACACGTAATATTCGACGTGTTTAGTCACGTGTCCGTCATGATGCTGCTTAAGGTTTTGTGATGAGTGGGCGTGGTGTTCTGTGTTATGGTGCTCATGATGACCATGTTTTTCGACATGTATCTTGTGTTGTCCATGGCTATGTTCTTCGTGTTTGCCACGGTGATGTGTATCATGATGATCGTAATGGTATTCCTTATTATGCGCCATGCTTATCTTTGTGGGTTTAATGAAGTACGATGCTTTGAGACGAGTAAGCGTAACCGTGATCATGACCTTGATGATGATTTTGAGCAGCGACGGCTACTATCGTAACAACGGTAATGAGTGTAATCTAATGATATAAAAATTAATTAGTGACTATTTCTTACGCTTAAAACAATGTTTTTCTAAGCATCACGTATTTCGTTGATTATTACCTTTGTTAACATTATGTAATTTTTTGTATACCAAAGAAGTGTTTGAATGTTTACTGATATTCTGTATGTGTAATAAAGAATAGGCAGTTTAT